AATCATCATTACTAACCAAGAAAAAAATGTCTTCAGAAAATATAATTATTATTGACTTCAAAATAGCGATCGTCAACATTAAATTATGAATTTTGACGAAATGAATTTTTCGTCAGAAGTAATTGGTCAGAAAATTTTATTTTTGACAACACTTAAAGTTCGTCAGTACTAATTGGTTAGGAAAAACCCATTTGTTACGTCATAAACACTTCGTCGATACTATTTGGTCAGGAAAAAAATCTTTTTTGACAATAGTAAAATTTCGTCAATACTATTTGGTCAGTAAAACACATTTTTGAAGCCAGAAGCATTTCGTCAATACTATTTGGTCAGGAAAAATTTCGTGACCACAGTTAGGTCAGGAAAAAATAACATTTTTGACGCCATAAAAATGTCGTAAGCAGTAAATGGTCAAAACAAATACATTTTGTACGCCATACAATTATTTTGAACAATTTGGTTACAAAATTGAAACCTTTCTTACAAAATAAATTATCGTATACGTTTTTTCATAAATGAAAATCGGACAAGAATGACATGTTTTAGAAATGATTATTGAATCAATAAAAAAACACATAATAAGCACTGTTCTAGGAAAAATAGAAATTATATAATATATATTTCGATCTACAAAGACCAAATTAGTCATACTTAATTTTCGAACCCTTCTCTAGTCCAAATTAAGAGATCATCTCCCTCGGTTTGGAGTACCCTAGGATCATCAATTAAAATATTGTCTTCTTGATAGGCTTCGTCTAATGCTCCTTCTCCTTCCGTATTAGATGGCATCGCGAACAAATTTCTTGGTCGCGTTTCAACCACAATTTCCCAATTTGGATCTCTTAAAGATTGCACATAATAAACTTGAATGGCTTGACTAGCCAGAACAAATGGCTCATCTGTTCTAAGCCTTCGCGTTGTGTTGATGGTAATAGTGCCATGCCATCTTTCCTGTAACCAACGCCTGCGCGAGCGGTGTCATACCACTCACAGTGAAATAATACAATGTGAAGCCCTTCAGTACAATGAAGCTCGATGATATCGGTGAGGACGCCATAGTAATGAATTCCACCATCGTTCTCCCCTCTCACCATCACACCACTGTTTTGACTGCTTTTGGTTAACTCGCGAGTACGAGTGTGAAATCTGAATCCATTGATACAATATTCTGAGTAGTGCAGGACTCGTTTGTCTGGCTCTCGAGCTAAGGACTAGTTCGTTTAGTTGCGTAGCTTTAACTTTGGCCTTCCTGAATTATTCCTTAATTGCAAAAAACTAATTAACTTTAAATGATTAAAACGGCAGAGAGGGATCTTTGGCCTTTTTTTATGGCAACGAGATTTGCTCAAAAAAGTTAAAAGAACCAAAAACCTTCCTTAAGCCTCTTCGTTAGCTATTACACCCCGCTCTTCCCAAAATTCAAAATGACTATATACCCTTGGGTCAAGTTCCACCGTAATATCAATGTGGACTAAAAATGTTAACTGTCGGTTTAAGCGGTGTCAAATTTGGACATAAAATGAGGAAGTTACAGACGTTAATTGAGTTTCGGATTAAACTCACACGTAACTGTGAGATTCCCAAAATATCCCCTAACTAATTAAACCCTAGACCCTCACTCTACCACAGTCGACCTCGCCTCAATAGTTAAATCCCAGCAGCATTTTACCTTCCCACCGAAAGCAGCTTGCTCTCGGGAAATCCGAGAAACAGCGGCGCCATCAAGGAAGAGGCTCTGCTGCGAGGTCACGGGAGGCAGAGGTAGTGAAACCTCTTACGAGGTAGTGAAACCTCTTACGGGAACCAAAAACCTTCCTTAAGCCTCTTCGTTAGCTATTACACCCCGCTCTTCCCAAAATTCAAAATGACTATATACCCTTGGGTCAAGTTCCACCGTAATATCAATGTGGACTAAAAATGTTAACTGTCGGTTTAAGCGGTGTCAAATTTGGACATAAAATGAGGAAGTTACAGACGTTAATTGAGTTTCGGATTAAACTCACACGTAACTGTGAGATTCCCAAAATATCCCCCAACTAATTAAACCCTAGACCCTCACTCTACCACAGTCGACCTCGCCTCAATAGTTAAATCCCAGCATCATTTTACCTTCCCACCGAAAGCAGCTTGCTCTCGGGAAATCCGAGAAACAGCGGCGCCATCAAGGAAGAGGCTCTGCTGCGAGGTCACGGGAGGTAGTGAAACCTCTTACGAGAGCAGCTTGCTTGGTCTGCGGCGCCATCAAGGAAGACCGGAGTAGTTTGCTTTCTCTGCTGCGAGGTCAAAGGAGGCATCGACATCGACATGCTTTTCCCCGCTACCACGAGAGCAGCTCGCTCGCTCTGATGCAACGACTGCTTTTCCCCGCCACTACGAGATCATCTTAGGCAATTGGTGACATTCCCTAATGGACCACCTACCTATCGATGTTTCCACTGAGACAGGTGCCTGATTGATGCACCTCTCTACTATGGCAGCTGGCTGGTTAAGCAAGCAGGAGGCGGTTTAGTAGCGGACCAAGGCGATTGAGATGTCAACGGGGTCATTAGTGATGGCTCTCTATTGCGACAGCCGCCTGCTTAAGCAAGCAGGAAGGCCAAAACAAGGAGTCAGTGGAATATGATCAATTTCGATACGAGCAAGGCCAAATCCAAAACGTGGCCCCTCTCAATAAATTCCACCGACAAGCGAAAAATTGCCGGAGCATATGATTTTGGGTAAGTTACCTACGCTACTCGCATTTAGTTATTTAATAGAGGGATATCAAATGAAATGGTTAAGTAAATATGGAGGTGCTTTAACATGGCTTGGGTAATTTGTTGTGGTTGATTTTTGACGACTGTGACGAATGGAGTTGATGGGGGAGCAACGTCGATTAAATGCTAAGTTGTTCCATGACACCTTTTGGAATACCTAGTTCACGAAGCCGATGGATTTTAACTATATAGTCAGGTGAGTGTAAAGGGGGGTAAATTCTACACCTTACGGTTTTTCAAGTATTGATTTACGTGATGTGTGTGCAGTATTTGATTCATGTTTGATATTGCATGATTATGTTTGATGATATGTGCGTTGGTTGAACTATGATTTGAAGTGAAATGTGGATTAGTTCTTACTTGAAGCTTTATGCCTATGAGTTATTGTTAAAGTTTAAGAACAAGTCTTTTTTTAAGAAGTACGTCATCTTCGAAGAAGGTGGAACCGTTTTAAGAGTTTTAGTCACTAGCGCCAGTCCGTTGCCATGTGAGATTTTGAGATAGAGCAGCAGTTATGCTCTTTAGACTTTTAAGATGAGCAGCAGTTATGATCTTGAGATATTTTAAGATGAGCAGCAGTTATGCGCTTGAGAATCGTGGAAGAAGAGCCTTCCACGATAAGTTTAAGTTTAAGGAAAGCCTAGATGGCTTCTCATACATATGAGTTGGCAACTAGACTAGCTAGTGAGGGATCCCCGTGTCAATCAAGCATTTAAATTGAGATTTGAGATTAAGAATACAGTTTTAAGAGTTAAGATTTTTAATAGTGGAAGTATATAACAACTTCCAGTAAGTTAAGTAAAGTGATAAAGTATTAATAAGACGTTAAACGTAAGGGCGTAGACTGACCCCATCTCACTCACCAGTTTGAAGAGCTAGAGGAACAGTTAGTGAGCAGCCAGTTCGAGGGCAGCCAGCTAGAGGAGGGCAGTATAAGCATCACAAAGGATGCTTAGTCAAGGTTTTCAGTAGCAACAACATTAGAGATTATTAGTTATTTACATTTATGGTTATGAGTATAGACTGGAGATCATTTTGAGGTTTTAAGTATTGATTTTGACCACTTGTTAGGGTTTTACTTTGAACTATAAGAGTGTGTTTTCAGTATTTTATTATGAAATTTTTCCCGCTGCAATTTAAGATTTAGTTATTTATTTTTCAAGGGCATTTTAGTAAAAGTAGTACCCGGTCGAGTTAGGGTGTTACATTAGCTTAAAAAAAGGCGAGATTTTTTCCCCGTTTCCCACCACAACACAATAACTACACACAACACGGCTCATTATTAATCTTTACTATCCATAAACACGATTCGATAGAGGCAGAGCCAAATAAAGGAACCCAAAAGACCTTTCTTCATTCTTTGCCATTACCTCTTCTCTGCCATTCCTCTCCTCCCACTAACGAATTTTGCTTCTCACTAGATGGCAAAGAAAAAGAAATGCCTACGTTCTCAGAACCAGAGGGAAGAATCTGCACCTCGTGACCCTATGCAGAGCAACTCTCCCTCTCCGCCTCTTGTTTCAGAGATTCAGGAAGAAGGACAAGATGGCAGGAACACCAATTCGCTTGTTCCTATTATTGAAACTCCGAGAACGGAGCAAAGGTCCCCTGTTACTGGATTGGAAGGAGATGTTGAGAAATGTGAATAGTTTGTAAAAAACTAAAGGAAAGTCATTGGAAAAGGTAAGTGAAGTTAATTCGGATTAATTCTCCGTATTGAAGGAAACGTTTCTTCAATCAGAATTAATTGACCGAATTAACGGAAAGTTCAATCAATTGGATTGATTTTCCATATTGAAGGAATCTTTCATGATCAGGTCAATTGCCCATACTAACGGAAAGTTTCAATCAATCGGATTGATTTCTGGTATTAAAGGAACCTTTTATCAATTGGGTTAATTGTCTGCTCAACTATCAGCTACGGATCTGTCGTCAGAGGGTGGAAGTTCGAATGGTGAGCTTCCTTCTGTGGTTTTTTTCTCCTTAATTTGATTTGCAAATGTCTTTGCATTAGCTGATTATAAGTTGTTAACTTGTGATAGGGACGACCAAAAAAAGAAAAGGAAGAGGACCAGGAAACGGTGTCAAACCTGGGCACAACCTGCCCCTGGAATTTCACGACAACAGGTCTGTAATAATGGGCCTTGGATTTGCAAAGTTCTTTGCATTAGCTGATTTTACTTAGTTTAATGCTTCTTTATAAACTGTGCAGGATAATTACCACTCAAGCAGCCCGTGAAATTTCAGCTATATTCAAAAGGAGCATCAATGGGCCTTGCATTACGTTCTTAGAGTATCCTGCATAAGAGCTACATACTGTGATAGCTCGTTTCAAGGACTCAGGATTCACTTACACTAGGTCAGAAGAGACTTTCAACGAAATGGTCAGACAACACATGAAGAGAAACTATCCCCAGTGGATGTAAGGTCTCCGAGACCCAATTTTCACGAAGAGTAAGGATCTGAATGAGAGAATGAACCATCCAACACCGCAGATAAGTCCATCAATTTGGAGGGAGATGGTTCAGAAATGGACTTACCCGAATTGGGTGGTAAGTTGTTGTATGCTTTGCTGTCTGTTCTTTCATCCTAATCTTTTTTGAATGGTGAGCTGAATGTTGATTTGTTTCGAATTGAAGGAAATGAGTGATAAGAATAAAGAGAACCGGGAGAAGAGTGAGCTTGCAGCCACTGGCGGTTCAGAACCGTTGGCCAAGTACAGACATGAAGAGGTAAGATGCTGCACTTTTTAATGTTTATGTTAGGCTTCAATTGTACTCAGTTTACATGTGTTAATGCAATGTTTTGTTTTTAATTGATTGGTAGATAAAACAAACTGGAAAAGAATCTAATCCGATCTAGATGTTTAGATGTTTCCATGTGAAGAAGGACAAGAACTGGGTTAGCTCAAAAGCAAAAACCCTGCATGTAAGTTCAATAATGTTTACAGAGTATAAGGCTGCTCTTTGTACTAGTTTTTGTTGTCTTTTTATCGATATTAATGATGTTTACTCCATGATTAGGATGTAATGATAGAAGCAGAGGATGAAAAGGTAACCCAAGGGGAAGAACCAAACAGATTTGCCATCTATCAAGAAGTGATAGGACCACAACGCCCAAAGCATGTTCTAGGGATGGGCCATGGGGTGAGCTCGGTTGATGTCTTTGGTCCCCCATCGAGTCAAGGTAGTCAGGGTTGCAACAAGCTGTCCTCGGTAAATATATTTTTTCCAACGAAACGTTGGAAAAGATATTTTTTGACGATAAACATATGTCCTCAGTAATATAAATTTAACCAACGACACGTCGGAAAAGATTTTTTTATGATGAATAGTTTTCAGGGGAAATAAAAATTTATCCAACGACACGTTGGAAAAGATTTTATTTACGATGAATAGTTGTCCTCGGAAATAATAATTTCTCCGACTTTTTTTGAAAGTAATTTCTCCGACGCCACGTTGGAAAAAAACATAGTTTTAACGAAAATTTGTCGACATCAGTAAAATTTATATTTTTGACTATCCGTCGGTAATAATATATTATTGACACATACACATCCTCAGAAATGTATGTTCAACGTATCAGGAAAAAAGTTCGTCCTCAAATTCTAGTCGCAAATAGTTATTTTCGACGAATTATGGATGTTAGTATAACTAGTATTTATGACGACTAGTCAGAAATACTGGTTTACCTACAAACATAATGCGTCAAAAATAAATGAATTTGCTGTCGAAAAAAAAATTCGTCAAATTCATCTGTCATGAGTGATTTCTTTTGTGACGTCATTTATTTTATTACTAACGTATTTATGTCGTCAATAATATTATAATTTTGACGACTTGTCAATAATGTTTTATTAACGATTGGACAATTTCTGACGACGTCTGACGACCATATGTCGTCGAAAAAGGTCTTTTCCGACAAAATTTTAGTAATTATGACGAAAATCGTGTCGTCGATTATGACTGCCGTTTTTGTAGTGACTCTTTGGGAAGAAGAGTGTAAACAAAACACCAATGAAACACAAAACAAATAGTACAAAACCAAAAGAAAAAAACCCCAATATAAACATATAAGTAAGACTAAACTAACAACCTAACTCTTTCAACTAGTAACCGTAGTTACCCGGCAATGGCGCCAAAAACTTGATGTGGTCGTGCATCAAGCTTTACATTTATAAACTCGATCGTCAACAATACTAGTACCCCAACCTAGGACAAGTGCACTCTAGATTGTCGAAGAAGTATAGTGGTGACCGATGTTGTGTTCCAAGGGTTACAATATCTTAAACTACTTAGGCTCGATCATTATCTAGTTAACCCATTACTTAGCAGGTGTACAGTTGACAATTACTAACCTAGATATTGATAAAGGAGAAGAGGCACTAGGGGTAACTCCCTCGCCCTAAATCTAGGTTTTCCATGCAAATGGCTAACTATGGGTTTTCAGGATGAGGTGCGGAACTCGCTAAATTGAGGGTTTCAATGATTACTCTGCTTCCTCCTAGATCCTAGAGATCCATTGCCACCTCAGTTAAAGCTCACATACTAAGAAATGACCACTTGTTCCTCTCAATAGGTTCAACCTATCATGCACACTAAAGCAATGGATCGATGACACTTGCATCATTTTTAGCATTGTCTCAGTAGGAAGGCGTTCCTCTAGCAGGGTTCAGTCGCCTCGTCCATTAGAAGGAACCCTAATATCATTCATCTACCTTTAATAAGCCTTAAGGAGCTCAAATCCTGTCTAACCCTAGAACTCCCACCTGGTTCTGAGACTCAGTTGTAGGCTAGTAGGGAACAGTTGGAGAGACAAGCCACAACATAATCAAGCATAAATGAAGCATATAATCACGGAAACAACAAATCATACACAAATCCTAACACTATCATATCTACATTCAAAACCTAATTCTAGGGTTTGAGGGGGTCTAACTCCTAGTACCTTGGAGGACTACTCCATAAAGGAGGGAAGAAAATACAAGTATAAAAATAGAAGAAGACTTGAATTGGGTAGAGCTCCCTTCCTCCTTGACTCCTCCTTCTTCTCTCCTCTATTCATCTCCTTCCTCCAACTTCTCTCTCTAACCTCACTCTAGAATAAAAAATCTGCCAAAAGCCATGTCCTCAAGGGGAGGAGTCCCCTATTTATGGAATTTGGAGGATAGACAAGTTCATGGGCATGGGGCAGAAGATCGTGCTTGTGATCTTTGGGGGAGAGTCCGCGATCTTGAGAGTCGCCATTTTATGACTTGCTGGATCTGGGGTTTGCTGTCTGACATCACGATAACGATCTGTGATGTCATGGTCGCAATCTCGGATGTCACGATAGTGATCTTTATCGTGGTCATGGATGAAGAGAACCCCGAGTCGACTGTGAATACTCTCTTCTCCTCCCTTGGTGGCTACTCTTGAAGTTCGCGCCCTTGGCCCCAGAGTTCGTGGTGGTGATCTTAGCACTAAAGAGTGTGATCTTGGTGCTCTAGTTCATGCCCTCTCTTCATGGTTGTGATCTTCGCTCCTTCAACCGTGATCTTGGCTTCTTCGTCTGTGATCTCCATTTTTGCCCATTTTTCTACACTTGTGCACCTTTTTGGTACCTAAATTGTTTATATTATCTAATACACCTTGATATGACAATATATTCTCTGAGGAACAAAATAAAGGTATATTTGACGACATATCAACCAATGCGAACACAAATTTACTTAAAATGAACCTAAATAGAAAGACTAATTAATATCATTCTTGGTGTTATCAGTGGTTCACTGACACGATTTGTGTTTTCAAATCCGCGGGTAGGAGAGCCCAGTTTCACTATATTTGTGGAGATACAAATTGCAAATATTGAAAAGATATATATAGCACCTTCTCTAGAAGGTCTAACCGTAATCCATCATGGAAAGGAATATGTTATAGACCAGGTCCCCAACTGAGCGCTTCACCCCTGAACCCTAACTCGTTGAACAAGCATCGAGACCCTCGTGAATCCAATTAATGATGGATAATATGTCTTCAAATCATATGAATTAATCTCCACCTTGACTTGAATTATCCCTCAAATACCAGATGTACTCATAATCTCTCATGCCTTAGGATGCCTCTAAGGGAATCAACACCGTAAAATATTCATAAGTCCAAGCATTGTTGGAACTTGCCATGTGGAACTGGCTTTGTGAACATATCAACAAGATTATAAGAGTGCACACTTTATTCACCTTAATCTTCTTCTTTGTTTTCAAGAAATGATATATCACGTCTATGTGCTTAGTCTTCTCATGATGAAATTGAACATTAGCCTAGCATATTGCACTCAGATTGTCACAATAAACCACAATTTGATCATGATGTAAACCCACATAACAGACAAGCCCCTTCAACCATATTTCCTCCTTAGCTAGGCTGTTAATCAAGCGAGTCTAACCGATCTTTGTTTTGTCCAAGTTTGGTTTGTTTATAAACGAGATGAACTCGAGCTCGGCTTGTTTATGAACGAGCTAAGTCGAGCCAAACACGAGCCAACTCATTTATTGAATCTTGGCTCATCATTAAGATCGAAATTTCAGCTCGAGCTCAACTCTAAGATAGTCATATTATGATACATGTGATTAACTGATCTTCATGTCATACTCATATATGAGACATATTTGCTCATATACTCAAGCTATTAAACATTACATGAGGGGAGATATACAATTTAATAAATCTATGCATCATTAACAACCCAACTCATAAGGTATAGATCGATTTTCTCACAAGGCATAATCAAGTTGGCTCGCTAGTTACAATGTTAAGACATCTCATGAGCCCAAAATGAGACAGTTCATGAGTCAAACTCAACAAGCCACCTAAATGAGCTAGTTCACGATCCTCGTGAGCCGAACAAGGAGCTCGGCTCGTTAATTAGATGAATCAAGCTTTTATTGAATAAAACTAGATTTACTCAAGTTGGAGACCGAGTCGTTCACGAATAGCTTGGCTCATTAACAGCCCCTAGCAGCTTCTATCAACGCCATGTACTCTGCTTCGGTATTAGACAAAATAACGGTATGTTGTAAAGTTGCCTTTCAACTAACAACACAACCTCAAAGAGTGAATACATAACCACTCATAGATTTCATTGTGTCAACATATCCAGCATAATCAGAATCTGAATAACCACCCACTATACACCATGTATCACTTCCAAAACTGATCCCACATCATATGTACCTTTAAGGTGTCAAAAAATCCTCTTCACAACTTCCCTATGTTCCTTCTTTGGTTGCACCATGAACCTGTTGACAAGACTAACAACATGTGCAATATCATATCTATTGTTGCAGACCATACCAAACATCAAGCTACCTACTGCACTAGAATATAGGACTCGAGACATGTACTCCTTCTCAATTTCAAATTGAGGTGTATAGACAAAGGACAAATGAGTATAACTTTGCATTTGACATTGCCAATCTTGGAAAATATCTTCTGGATTTAGATTTCCTGTGACAAGGTTTCCAAATTTTTTTGTCAAAATGAAGATGTGGTACAGAGTGGTAAAAAGTTATATGAAATTTTTTCCTCAAAATAAAGGGACCTCCTACCATGCCTTGAAGTTACTAGAACTTGACCTTTTTGACCTGCTATTGCAGGTTTTATAGATCACATTACGTAAAACTAATGTTTATTACATTACAATTACGTAATGCTTGTTAGTCTTACGACAGTTAAACTAGAAGCGCTACAGAAGGTTTTCGTAACGACTTATCATTTTATGTAACACTAGCTTTATTCATTACGTAAAAGCATAGTCTATTACATAAGGCTTCCATAATGACATTTTAAAATGTTACATAAAATACACGCTCATTACGCAAAGGTTAAGTAACGAAGGTTATTTCTTACGTAACAGTTAAATTAGAAGTGTTACGTAAGACTTACCACATTATGTAACTTGATTAATATTCATTACGTAAAAGGATCATCCATTACGTAAGGCTTCTGTAATGCCCCTTTACAACTGTTACGTAAAGTATGCATCTATTACGTAAAGGTTGCGTAATGATAGTTATTTCTTACGTAACAGTTAAATTAAAAGCGTTACGTAAGTCTTCCGTAATGATTTAACAGATTACGTAACGAAAGGTTAATATTCATTACGTAAAATGAGTGTCTATTACGTAAGGTTTCCGTAATTACATTTTTCAACTATTACGTAAGATAAACACACATTACATAACCATTACGTAATGCTTATTGTATTTTAC